AATTGCCACAGAACCTGCTGAAGCCTAGCTTGCGGCCCTGACTAAGCCTGATTAAGGGGGAAGCTCTGGGGAGTTGAGGGTCCTTCCCTCAACTGATTGACAAGATAAAGCCCTTGCTGGCAGGCAAATCTACAGCTGGAAATCTGCAAGCCTACTCCGAACAGCGGCCTTGTACGGCATTTCGTGCACAAAAGAGGCTAATCATATGTCCTTCAGTCTTTCCCGCATGGAGCCCAGACTGAAATCCAGCCTGAGCCGGAAAGCCTCTCAGGGCATTGGTTTGACACTTTTCCGGGTACAAGGGGTGTTTAGTTGCCCTGCATAATTTCCCTCTTGACCGACGTTCCACCCTGTGAAGTCTGGAACTCAGGCCCCCAGCCGTGCTTTCAGAGCGCACCGTGCCCTGGCATGGTGGCTGCTGTAGTCACCCTTACACAAGTAGACTTGCAGGATGTCTTGAGCTCTTTGATTGAATTCAACCCACACATGCCTGATTCTTGCCTTGAGCAGCTGGAGTTGTTTCAGATACACAGCGATTGAGCACAAGCAGTTAGGAAACTGCAATCCTGGAGGCCACAATGACGGAGCCTAAGCAGTTTCAATGAATTATACTGCAAGGAGATTCAGTAAGCCATACTTTGATGAGTGTGTCAATTAAACATGCTATAAGTAGTTTCAACAAGCTATACTATCACTATTATCCAGGGAGAAACTGCCATAACCTTCTTAGCTACTCAGGCTTCTGCACCAGCCAGAAATCCTGCTGTCAGCAGGCGTTTCACCTGGATCTTCAACTTTTGCTTCATGCGCACGCGTATCTTTAACTCAAAACCGTCAAGAGCCCATCTTTGGTAAGGCGCGTAAACTTGCGCCTTCTGACCCTGGAGTCCTTTAAGCTGATGCCCCGAAGCAGGTGAGCTTCACAAGCACGATCGCAAAGCCCTTCCACTAATCAAGGAATATACCTTAAGGTATACGAAGGATTTCTGCATGGTTTAAAATATTAGGGGTTTCGGTTTTGGGTTTTCTGGGTGGTGGAGTCTTGAGAAGCCTCGACATCGACTGGCCCCGTCTGCGCCACCGTGTCGTTGATGTTTTTCACCAGCAGACCTTGGTTGGGATCCGCTCTCACTGGGGTGCTGCAAAAATGGAAAAAATAAGATTAGTAAAACATAATGATATCAGTAACGATGGTAAGAATATATGCTGGGGCTACTGAAAAACAATTCTAGCCCTGAGAAGTCATGAGCATCAGTGCCATGGGTCATAGATGATATGAACAGACCGGGTCTGGACGGTTTGGAACCCTAGCTGCTAGCTTAACTCTGCCCTCCAAGCAAACTCCATTCCAGCCTCGTTTCCCGATAATAAGCCTATCTGCCCCAACGTAACGCCCACACCTGTGCCTGTGCTCGCCAATCCCACAGACCGGGGCACCCGACCAACACGATTTCGCAAGTCCTTCGGCCCAAGGCGCGTTTCAAGCAAAGCTTCTGGGCCAAGGATTCTAGGTTGTACCGTCGGCGTGAATGATATGGCTTGCAGGGTTATGACTAGAACTACCTTCTACAACCCTCCGACCCTCCAAATACGTTGTATGGGTGTCAGGTCGCTTGTGAGCCCTAGGTCGGTCCAGACCCATGCTGTTTGACAGTTTAGGGTTTATGGACTCCACCGGCAAACGTGCCTGAGCGAAATTCCACATGAACATTGCTGTGGAATCATGGCTCTGACTTGCGAGACCTTGGGGTGGCTCGGGGACTAACTAATCACTCCCCCCGATGAGTACAATCCCGCTCATAACGGCTAATATCATATGATTAACTCAGGGGCCCCAACATCCTGAGGCGCACTTTTAAAATGGGAAGGCTACTTTTGAAAGGGGCCACCTCATGATGAATTAGGAAGAGGGGGTCTGGGGGGTTCTAAACTTCCTTGATTTCCTAAATAGGTTCTTTCTTATTGTTTAAATATTTTTATACAGGCGTTCACAGAAATCTAAAATGCGATGTTAATTGGTGCCATTACGATGTTCATCGTTTTTACTAATTAGATTTCAACTGGCTTTAACTTCATTTCACTTGATTTTAAGTAGACCTTGGTTCGACTTCTTTCGGACAGGTTTCAATTAGGTTGAAACTGCTTTGAATTGGATTTCTCTCAGTTGGCTTCAATGAATTCTTGATCAAGTTTACGTTATTTCCAAATGGAGTTCTGAATAAGACTTTCGCTAGTGTAACTTAAATGCTTAACCAGCTGTGAGTTTACGTAGATTTTAAACAGACTTCCATCGGCTTTAGATGGATGTTAGTTTTAAACTTGTCGTAATTAGATTCCAATTACTGTCCATTAGTATTTCAACTGAAAGAAATCCAAAAAGGCTTTTGGAGGCAGTTCCATCTACTGCTTTCTGTAAAGACCAACCCCTGATATTGAATATTTTTGGGGCGCCGGATTGTTTGATATTACGGGGTGGGAGGAAGAGGGGGATGTCGTTCACGACTAGGGGAAAGCGATTAAATCAGTGTCACAGTGTCACATTAAACAGGATCTCGCCCTAACAAAAAGCTATCAATATTTCGTGGCTCAGCCAGACCTTTGAGCAGACCGCCCGACCACGTAATGCAACAGGAACGCTTCCCCTCAGCGAATGACTTTTCTGCAGAAGCTGTGGTGCAAACGCTAGTACAGCATAACTGCATCACGTGAAATCCAAGTGTTGCCCATATTATACCTTTTAATTGTTGCCATTATTCTTACTGTTTTTCATGTTGCTTTTTTAAAGTAGAATCATTATTATTGTTACTGTTTGGGGCGGCTAAACTGCATGCTTTCAGGTCACGAGCCTCCGGGATCAGCGTCCGACCTGGCTTTAGAGGTTAAGCCTTCAGGGCTTCAGGGTCTAGGGACAAGAGTCAAGAGGGTGTTACAGCTTCAGGATTGCATATTATGGGCTTCAGAGTGTTGCTTCGCAGGTTTGCGCATGGGCGTTTAAGAGTGAAGGACGCAAGCTTGCGGTGTAGGTTTCCAACAGGCGGGCCGCTTTGAAGGCTTCATGGGTGGGAATAAATAACATCGGCATTCTGATCGCGAGACTCTGTCGAAAGCACCAGCGACAACCCGGGGACTTGGTAGCGATATGGTCTGACGCTCCAAGTTGGACACCCTGCCCCCCCAAAACTGTTGCAGGTTTGACAATGGTAGCCGCTTGAAACAGTTGATTGACTGCATAGTTCCTTAAAAGGGGGTTATACAAGGGATTTCATAGGTATGTAAGTCCTTGGGCAGTCCTAGCCGCTAACCTTGCATGGGGCAGAGTCTCTGCTGCACTGACAGCTGCATGTGTCCCAACTGTCCATCCCAAGGGAAACAAATTCAAGCAGTGTGGTGTTTGAGTTCTTGCGAAGAACCATGCCGCTTGAAATTACGGAGTTTTCCCGATGGTCCTAACAGTCCTAGCACATGTAAGTCTGGAACTCTCATGCTGTTCAGAAATCTAATCAGTGATTCTTACAAGGAATCCCTAAAAAACCCTTTCCATATAGTCCTGTGTACCCCCGTACATATATAAGTAATCCCCATATTACCCATAAGCTACGAGGGGTCTCCATTGCGGGTCCCTCCCTCACCTCCCCCCTATAGCTCCCAGACCCTATAGATTCTGACCACAGCGGGCCTACAAGCCGTGGAAGCCGTTCTGCTGCCGTCTGCTCACGCAGGAGCCTTCAATGGTCCGGCTACCCGCCGTCAAACCAATGAGAGCAGTTGTCTTTAACTCCTAGTATCCCCCTTTGAAACCCCTATGCTGCTCCCCTATACAAGCCCGTATATAGCCCCCATTAAGTAAGGACTTTAGACTATGGCTCACATGGGACTCCCTAAAGGGCCTTGCAAAGACTACTGCTGTTAAAGTGGGCCTTATGAGGTTCCATTTCAAGTAATTTGCAGGGGCTACAGCCCTGAAAGACCTAGTCATGGCATGGTCGCCGCAAGTCTGCAACATATGCTGAACAAGATGAAGGCGGCTCGTCTAATTAATGGCAACGCATACCAGCAATGCACACCCCATCTGGCACACCCCTGAAGTGGATTACAAAAGCGAAGTCCATGGTGGCGGGGATTTCCTGAACAGAATGTACTTGTTGGCTTCTTGGTCACCATGAAGGCTTGCTGCTTGGGGATCGGCATTAGCTCCTCGATCCATATAGGGGCATAGGGCAGAAATCTTTGAGTCGGGCAGCCTTTGCCGCCTGCATGTACTTGTGTGCCTCTCCCCCCTAAGGAGCATCTTGCAATCCCGGGAGCGAAACAACTGCAATTCTCTGTTACTACTATAGATAGTATTACTAGTACTATTACTATTACTATTATTACCAGGATTAATAGTATATTATCATTACTATTATAGTATAGCATGTTTACCTCTTGAGCACCCGGCTTCTTCTTCAGCACTTCCACCTCAGGAGCTAGGTTGGCCCCTAAAACCCATTGAAAAATATTAGTATATATGGTCCCCTATTAAAGCCATTAGGGAAAATATTAAATATCCCAGGGGCCTACCTCACAAGATGTGCAGAAGAACATCTCGCCCTAGCAGGTTTTGGGTTCGGTGGTGCCGACGGTGCCGCAAGTCGTGCTTGTTCCCGCGCTCCTAGCATTAGGTAGATGCCTTGCCACTATAAGCACGTCATGTCTTGTCCCCATCGCGCATACACACACCACAGACATGATCCTTTGGATGTGCGCAAAGCTCATCAAGCTGAATGGCAGTCATTGAAGCCTTGAACTCTTGAGCCTGGAACCTTGCGTTAACATTCCAATCTGTTCGTTGGGGAAGGGTTTATCTTTCAGTAGGGTGCCTTGTTATGTCACCCTGTGTCGAGGGTATGAAGTTTGGCTACAGTTAATTGTTCGGTGGCTTCCATTTTTCGAAGATGTTCTGTACGAGTCTAGAAGCACCTAAGTGGCACGAGGCTAGAAAAGCCTGTTCTCGGACTAGCTCAGGCCCCGGCATCGGATCTCACACCTGCAGGTGGGCATCAGCATTTGTGAAGGAACCTGACCCTTCCTCAAGCATACCGTGCATTGCAGGGAAACGGACTTGGGCTTCCGGGTGCTAAGATTGGAGGGGTCATTTTGTAATAGTGGTAGGGCAGTGGAAGAGCGGCCTTATCAAAGGGGCGAAATGGCAACCAGAGCAAACATGAAGAGATGCAGAGGGACTTTGGAATAAAACCTGAAGCTTTGGAGAGGTTATCTCCACAAAGGTTTGCTGAATGGGCAGTCAAATGCATGGGACCGCTGCTTGCTAGTTGTCGGGCTTCATAAAGCTAGCCCAAACTTGCACGTAAAAAATCCAAGTCTCGAAGGATTTGCGCGCACAAAATCTCAAAAGGGCGGAAGTTGAAACCCGTTTAGCAAGAGCTTGAAGGATTTTGCCTTTCCATGCACGCCCAGCGAAACAGTTCGGCCCTGTGCAGTGTTGCAAAAAGTTACTGGATCACAGAAAATGCCATTGTTCACAGACATGAAGACAAGGTCTGAAGCAAAAAAGCCTCAAACAACTTTCCCCAAAAAACGTCGGAGGATCGTGCACTCAGAAGAGCTCGCTAGGGTGAACCTCTGAGGGCGCGAGGCAAGTTTGCCTGGCAATGGGAGACCCGGCCTTCTGCGAAATTGTTGTCCCGTCCGAGTCGAGTGATCTCGGCCTGGCAAACTTAAGGGGGGCTAGTAGGGCATAAGGGAATATCTTACATATGGATTATATTCCTTTATTCCCTACTAACAACCAGTGGAGCAAAATGCAAGGAAGATCAAGGAAGCTTCGGACCTGCAAACCCAAGCGTGAAGCAGGGGGATTTGGGCATCATAGAAGGGGCAAGGGGAACGGAACCCTTGGTGTCATTGCGCAATCTTTGGGCTAGACGAGGATCGTTGAGGAGATCTTCATCTTCGAGCTTGTTAGTGATGACCTCGCGGCTTCACCCTCCAGCAAACCACTTGGAGGTTCAGGTGTAACTTACAAGCGCGGCTATAAATACGAAAGCTATAATTAAGTACGGAAGCTTAAGTCATCAGCACGGTTTGCCCCCCTCCGGGTACCCATGAGCAGTAATCAAGCGATCGCGCCAGATGTCAAGCCTGTGGCAAATTTATCTTGGCTTCAGGGTACGTCAAGCGGAGCTTATAGGGGTATATAGTAGTATGCAGGAGTATATGTAGGAATGGAAAAGAAACTGAAAGCTACCATATTGGATAGACTATGGGTTTAGGGATATCTCCCACATAATGGCGGGTCACCTGCAAAGTCAGGTGGAAAATGACATGGAGAATACAACACGTATATCTATACCTACAATATATACATATGTATATGGACTATCTAGGGCTGGTGGATATTACCCCCATAAATGGAGAATCAAATTATCGAAAAGAAGCTGGAACCTGAAATAGATACTGTAATCCTAAAACACAGGTTATGACATAGTCTCTGCCCCCACATAATTCTATAATAGGTTTGATGGCATAAGCTCCACCATATGAACCCCTAAAGCCTCAACCCTAAACCCTTGCTAACGGGGCCTCCGCAGCATTCAGGCGCGCCGCTGTGGTGTCCCAGTCCCATTTGCGGAGCTCGGCCTCTAAGGCCTGCAGTGAAAAAAAGCCTAGGGAAATTTGGGTTTAGGGTTTTAGGGTTTAGGGTTTGAGGTTTAGGGGTTTAGGGTTTGAGGTTTAGGGTTTAAGGTTTATGGTTAAGGGGTTTAGCGTTTAAGGAATACTCAAGATAGTATTGGACTTGATGACAGCCGTCTCTTCCAATCATTCCATGAAGGTTCAGTTCCGGGCGGAAACCTGGCCCCCTCCATACACCTGAAGCAAAGAGATTTCAGACACAGGCCCTCCAAAACCTCCAAAGTTTGTAGTATCCTGAAAACGCCAGTAGACCATAACTTTGGATATCTCTGTCACATTTTGCTGTTGCAGTTGCCATTCATTTGGGTTGCAATCCCCAAGCCAAAAAAACCCTAAACCCCTAAACCCCTAAGCCCCTAAACCCCTCCCACCTGCATGCGATTGCCCAAAGGCACGATGGTAGCTTGCAGCTCTTTCACCTGTTTTTTTTTTTTTTTTTT